GTTTCTATTGTTATACAGCAATGAATAAAGGGGATTTTTTTACGTGGCTTGTTGACACTTATCAACTGAAATAGAAGTGATCTAAATTAATCACAAATTATTATAAAGTTTAGTGGAAGTCACATGATTAGTTAATTTGAGATCACCTGTGTGTAGTCAAGAGATTCAATATGATGATTGCAATATAAATCCACATATATGTATAAGGTCCAACTTTTGGTGAGTCAGACTCCACAAGTGCACACTCAAAGTCATTCTGTGAAAGTGGTCTATTTCTATTGATTAGTGACAAAATAAGATACTTTGATTGAGTATTTTAAGACCATAAAACATGAAAACTACCAAGAGGGGGGTGAATACTTTTTTTAGGCGCTGTACATTAAAGGTCCAGTGTGTAACATTCAGGAGGATATTCTGGCTGAAATGGAATATAATATTGTTTAATGACCTAAAAATAAAAATCGTATATTTTTGTTACCTGAACATGCAAAAAACCCCATTTATTTACAGATGCCGCGGGTTGCCTTCCATGTTGAACCTGCAATGTCTCTACAGTAGCCCAGAACAGACAAATCTGGCTGTAGATAGGGACTTTTGAGTTTTTCACAAGTTCTGTGGCCCCCGTAGTTTCTCCTACACACTTCACAGCCAGTTCTCATACCCAGGTCATCAAATACAAAAGCAAACTGTGTATAGTTAGTTGCAATCTGCAACTTCACTACTAGATGCCACTAAATCCTACACACTGGACCTTTAAACTACAGTTAACTATAGCAGCAACACTTGTAACTGAACCTGCATTACACTAGTTAACTTCTAGTTGTGAGACAAACAGTTAGACAGCAGTTACACAGACAACACACAATCTGTAAAAAGTCAATGGGGACTATCTGAATGATATAAAATAAGTCCTGTAACATTACAGAGACATTTTAGAGGATAGCTCTGAACACAGAACACACTGTGTGACATACTGTAGGTACAGTATACTCTGCAGTATAGGTACATATGAAGATTAAACAGTAGTTTTCTGTATTTCTCTCTGTGTCTTTCTGTCTAATTAACCCAAACGGATTGGACTTGTTACAGTTCATCTATAATTTTTCATAGGCTTTTGATATTCAGTCTGGAGATATTAAAAATTTAGGCTTAACTTGTCTCTATGCCTGTGTGCCTCTGTGTGTGGAACAGTCTCTCAACACAGGGGTTTGGATTTGATGTGATATGCAGACAGAACTGCAGGAAACTTTGGTGATTTTTTGGGGTCTCTTTATTAATATTATAAAGGTTGGTTTGAAAATAGATCATCCTTTTTATAACAAATGTAATTAATGTAGTAATTTGAAACGGTTCGTGCTCCTGAGGATGCAATATATTTTGACATTTAGCAGTGCGAGTGCGTAGTAAATCCATACTGTTTTACACAGACTTGAATTTAGCTTACTGGTTATTTCAGACATTGTTACATAATTTTTAATCTGTTACTTCAGTGGAACATATTCAGAGCATCTGACTGTGTGATACCACAAGATGGTGCTAAATATCTACAAAATGTAGGCTAAGCCCTGTAGAGAGTACTATAATGCTGCTTTTTCATCCTTTCCATTAATTTAAAGAGCAAGACCTCAACATGGTAGGCTGATATGTAGATTTCTGCTATAAAGTAGTGAATCCTAAAGGTCAGTACTTCTGCAGTAGCTGTACACAGTGTTTCATTCATTGTGCATTACGGTTCTGTAATGCCACTCCAAGTGCACCAGGTGGCAGCCTTTGTCTGTTGAACAGGACGGACCAATTCATAATTTGTTCGTTTGAGTACGCTGTTTAGTCGGTCAGTCCCAGCAACCACATACTAGAGCAGGTTCTTTCAATCCATATTACTGCTTGTAAAGAGCCATCCAATCAGCAATGTAATGTAGACCAGTGGAACAAATAATGTACTATAAAAACCTCATGAAAGTTAAATTATATACAATAGTGTATAGTACACTATCCAGAATCTTCTATGAAGTATGAAATAAGTTTCTTTTTTATTCTTAATCAATAAACAATTTAGATTTAAAACATAAATAAGAAAAATACATTGAAGTCTACAGCAAAAACAGATGGTGATTTAATTTTATTTTAGTTTAATTTGAGTTTTGTGTTCACAAATATAGAATTACTGCATGCATCACCTTGCTATTCAATAATTAACTTGCAGACAAATATCTGTGCAAAGCAGATTTTATTATTAAAGTGCAGCTTCTCTCGGTGGCCTAAAGCACAGTAGCCAACTCAGATGAAAATGAAATTTGGCACACTTCCCATAAATAACTTCATTCAGCAGGAGAGCTGAATGCAGTCTTACTCAGTCAGCTTGTGGCCAATATGAGAAAATAAATCTAGCAGCGGGTGATGGACAATGGCTGACAAGAAAAAAGAACAATAACTCGTCAGATTTTGTCTGCAGTTTCATTAGTGTGTCTGTCAATGAAAGCTTGCACATGATGACTGATGCTCGTTAATACTATTATTTTGTATTATGAGGTAATATTTTCTTTCTATAGTTTCTCTGTAAAAATGTCGATTTCTGTAAATTTTTAGAAATTGGTTAGTCTCAAAAGGATAAAAATCGACCACCTTGCCAAAAGCATATTGATTGCTTGCAGTCCTTCTGTCATCCCTCTCTTGGGGAGTATTGATGACTTTCCCCAATCTGCAGGATTCAGTGTACTGCTGTGTAGGGTATGGCATAAGGAAAAGAAGTCCAACAAATGAGCAATTGCTTTCACTCTCCTTTATATCAAATATATTTCACTAGAAGACATATTTTTTTTTACTCTCAGAGGTTCAGAGATAAAAAAGTAATGTCTCAATTTGCATCCGTTCATTGTGTTACAACTCATTTGAGTCTAGGAAGCATGCCGCTTTAGGGCCCTTATGGGGATTAACATAAACAAAAGGTCCATAAGCAGTTACTTCCCATCACAGCGTATCATATGCCAATAGATCTTATTGCAGTATGTTGTACAGATGATGCAAAGCTACACAAATGTTCACCAAAGTAGACACAATGAAGGGTAGAAAGTGAGACATCATTTTCAAGAGCGTGTTGAATGTCCAAGACCATCACGTATCATGGTCTGTTGAGCTTGCCAAGTGCACAGCTTATCTATAAAACGCTTAAATATTAATGTGCAGACTGCAGTCACCAGAATCAATAGTATCCTAAGTTTGATCTCCAGACTGGAATTTTTTTCCACCACACGATGACCAATCATACTTTGAGATGAAAGCCATGAGACAATTATTCCGTTATTGACCGCACAGCTGAGGGTTAATTGATTAGTTTGGCAAATCCATACCCATGAATCAGGGAAGGGTTTGCTTCTGGTAAAAACTCAAGTCATCAATCAGACTGATTAAATGTAATGACGCAATCACAGAAGCTCTATGCCAACAAACTGAACTATTTTCATTCAGACTAATTGTGGGCGATGTGATAATTTAAATCGTTCATTATGTAAGGTCAGCCTAGTTCTTCTGACAGTCGAGGAAAGTATGACTCTTTCTCTCTCCTCGTTTTAGTTTTAAGTTTTTTGCGTCCTGCAAGATCATATTCAGCTTCAAAAACGTCAGGTTTAGATCCCACAGGGAAAAACAATTACTGTGAATAAGACAACTATGAGGCCATGTTAATAGTTCTGTTTCTGAAAAGCTGGGCACAAAAATAAACTTGACTTAAATGTAGGTTTCCCCGCAGGCAAAGACATTGTAGGTATTTCTTCATTAGTGTATATTGACCTGAAAATGAGAATTGTTATGTTTTTGTTACCTTAGAATGAGCAGTTTTTATCAACAGATGCTGCAGGTTGCCTTCCATTGAGTCCGCTATGTTGAACTGCCATGTTTCTACAGTAGCCCAGAAGGGAAGAACCAGGGTTCAAGTTATAACCTTTGAGTTTTGTGGGGGTCTCTAAAATAAATAACGTTCATAACATTAGCCAAACAGGTGCAATTTCCATGAGAGAGGGAGAGAAACATAGAGATACTTCATAGCTCATAACCTGGTCAAAAACTTTGACACACACTTTATCACACACACACAAACACACACACACACACACACACACACACACACACACACACAGACACACGCCCACTATTTGCAACAACTGTATCAGGTAGATTGCAACAACCCAAACTGCCATGCAATATTGCAACAAAGTTTCAATAGCCAAAAATATGACCAATGACAGAGACCCATCACTGACAATACAATTCCACCTATTTTGGTATCATGTGAAAGTAGGTGTTGTTATTTGATGGTCTACTAAACACTGGTGCACAGTATCCTATTCCATGTAGCTCTCCACTACTGAGAGGATGCATTGGTTTTTAGCACGTCCTACATCCAATAGAAAGCAAGCAGTCGGTGCAGAGAGAAATTCTACAAAATCAAACCCCGGGACAAACCAAACACTGGCTGTGGATAGATGCCACTGAATCCTACATGCTGCACCTTTAAGTGCCAAAAGTGAAACTTACTTCAAACATGAAAGTAGAATACAAAATGGCAGAATGAATGTCTTCCCTGCTCCTTGGAGCGCTTCCACTGAAAGCTAAAGCTAACTGTTAACATTGTTTGTTTATTTATTTATTAACTTTACCATGTTTAAACACTACAACAACAGTGTTCAGAAGGTAATCTTTTCAGGTGTCAGACCTACCCATCTTGAAGGCAAGACGGAAGAGGGGGTGATATTTGCAACAGGTCCTGGGGCATTAGAGTCCAGGACCTCTGAGGGGTCCTCGAGCCTCAGTTTGACAACAGACCCAGTGCATGTGTATTAGCCCTTGTGCTGCTGTCTTCGCCGATTAGCCCACCTTTAGCCTGCTACCCTGTTCGGGACGTTGTGTCGGATGCAATGTGAGCTCACACCCTCTGGTCGGGTTTAGTTGCTCCCTGCTGGCTGCTTCATGCGAAACAGAACAACGACTTAAAAAAACCCACAACCACCCACCACACACACACACACAGAGGGCAAAGGAATCGAGTCTGGCACGGACCGTGTATTGTTAGTAGGAAATGGTACGCAGCTCAGGCTGGGCTGTTCCCTCCCTCTGTCCCGTAGCTACCAACTCATCTGTTGTTATTTGCACAGACTACAGCTCGTTTTTGAACCGGAACACCGTTGCACCGAGGCACACATTTGTGGAGGTATTTGTACCCGGTATGCCCCAACAGCAAAGCTAACACGGTTAACGGCTGACGATGGCTTCGGTGCGGATGGTCGGCAAAGTTACGGCGAGACTTTTGGGAAGTGTTCAGCCAATTCACCGCGGTCTCAAAACTACCCGTCCGGTTGCATTTCTTCACCAGGTAAATGATTCTTTTAGCTATTTGCTTTAATTCGGCTAACGTTACACCACCGTACAACTAGGCTATCTATGTAAGTCTGCCAGGATGTATGTTAACACAGTTGATGAACTGGGTTTCCTCCTTTATGAGCACAACACTGTGTACTTTGGTACACTGTGGACGGGTTGAATAGCTAACTAAGTTAACTTTAGTCAATCCCGAGCACTGTTCAGATAAAGGGATTTCTTCTTGCCTATTTTCTTGACCAATCTAAAATGAGATATAAACTTAAGAAAGAACATGTTTATTTTCACTCGTTCAGGGTGCTTGGATATGATCCATTTTTCCACATTTCCTCTTAATGGAGGTTTTTATGGCTGTGGAGTGAAAAGGCCTCCGTCATTGCCTGCTCTTATGTTTCTGTGCCCTGTAATTTTCATGCAGGACTTACAGAACAAACAAATAAATAATTCAAGCACATTACCTAGCTCTACAGGGATTTAGATGGTATTAACAGGTCTACATGACTGATCAGCTTTGAGAAGTGCTTATGACTGATCAATACTGCACCTTATCTCATCACTACAGCAGTGCTTATTTGATTAGTCCTGTGCGAAAAACCCATTCTGGCTGCTAAATATACTTCTAAACTTTAACTAGAGACTTGCTTTGCCCTACACAATCTCCAAGAAATCACTAACGTTGCTGTCCTCTGCAGCCTGCAGTATGTTCAGCATAGGGGTCAATATCTTGTATCGTCTGTCAGTATTGGGCATCATCAGGTGCTTGTCTGCCATAGTCAAAGGTGCACAAATCATTAAATGCATATAGTTTTGAGGGGAAATGTGGCATAAAGCGAAACCCCACGTTGCATCAGAGCATAAGCAAGAGGTTTTTGTGGTCTGGCTCTACTCACAGGTTTATTTATAAGCTGTTAACATGGCCAGTTTAAATGACCTGTATCTTTTATTATCCATTTCATCATCCATTGCAAAAAAAATTGCAGAGGTCAGCTAAGTCGTAAGCAAGCAGATCCCAAGTGGACGCCTCACATCTCTACCAGTGCAGGAAGAAACAGAGCATACTGTACAGCTGCACGCCATGATAGTGTCAGTAGTGAGTGAATAGTGACATACAGTTTGTGGGATTAGCCATTCTTTCTGTTAGATGGGCATGCTGACATGAGTCACTCCTGCATCCCAGAATGACTAAGATGAGTTCTATTTTTAGACTGAACCATATATAACGTTGGAGCTGCAGTTTTTCCTCTTTTCCAATGACATACTGTAAGAAAAGTGTTTGTACAGCAAACCTCTCTTAAAGCTAAAGACACATTGAAGGCAGCCACAAACAAGGTTAAGGTCACTACTTCCATGCTGTGCTATCGCCCTCTTTGAAGCCCTAAAGAGAAGCAGTGTATTTTACCTGCTTAAATACAGGCAACAAGGGTCCCTGCAGTTACATAGTCGGCGTCTTTAACCCATCGGCCACCAGGATGCCCCGCCTACAGCATACAAACTGGGTGAATGTTTGATAGTCAAAAGATCGATTTTATGTGGCTAATTCAGTGCTGTGTAATTTCCTTAGCCAGCAAAAAAATTACTTCCCTCCCTAAATGTGAGATTTAGATATTGAATAAAAAGTATCACTCTCAGGTCAAGACTGGGTTTCTTAAAGGAGGGGCTGCTCCAGACAGAGAATTACTGCTGCATACAAAACCAGTGTTAGGTATCCAGAGAGCAAGTTGTCAGTTTTTTTAGGAAATTGTTTTTCTAATAAATAATAGAGAAAGTGAATATATATATTCTAGGAAGCAGTATTAGCCAGTGAAATAGACTGGGACTCCAGAGGTTGTGGGTTAGAAAATGGAATACCACAGAGTCTGGCTAATTAATTGGTTCTAAAGCCCTGTGTAACAGCAACTACAAACAACTATAGTCAGTGGGAGCAAACGTGAAGTGAGCGTCGACCTGTGTGAGCAATCAACAGTGCTGTTCAGACCTGAGGTATGTTCTCTTGTGGGGTAGTCTTGGAAAGTGTCATTTTTGTCACAATTTGTTTACCAAAATGTAAAATGAGCCGTTGCCCATTAAGAGTGCACAGGAAATAAAACCTCTAACAAACACTCTGACATCTGCCGTAATTTTTCGTCAGGAAAAGTTTGCTCCTGGGAGAATTTTTATCAAGGCAGCGATTTCGCTTTTATGAGAGAAGCTTTGGGGATTTGGCTTTTATGTCAGTAAGTGATGGTGCTGTCAGATAATTAGTTTCCTTTCTACAGTCAGAACTGGAATGCTTTACAAGTGAACATAACGGATGGAGCTTGAAACCCTGCTAAGCAGTTCAGTGGTGCTGAGAAAAGTTTGACCTGCAGCACTCTCAATGAAGATAAGTGATATTGAGTTTGTTCTGCAGCAGCCTGTATTTACAGTAACATGTAACAGGAGCAGTATGACATTTTGCAAAGTAAATTTATTTGCATTTTTCAGTCAGATAGGAGGATCCATAACAGTTTCATCTCCGTGCATGCAGTATTGAAAGGTTCAGGAAGAACGAAGAATCGGGGAACTACTACTGTAGTTCAATCAGAAGTGAAGAATGCCTTTCAGCATGTCCAAAACTTTCTTATTTACAAACTCATCTCCTGTGTATTCAGCATATGCATTATCTCCTAAAACAAGATGCCAGTCCTAGGAGCAGTCATATTGAGTCGCTTTCTGCAAATCTCTTGGCAAAATGACTGCACACATGATACTAAAAGTCCTGTTTTCATGGTGAGTTGCAAGGTTTGTGCACTCTGCTCTTAAAAGAACCTGGACTCCTGGAGGTGTTGGTGACAAGGATAGGACAATATGAAAATTTCATGTCAACATTATCCTGGCCAATGTAATTGCAATTTATGATATTATCCTGGTAATGAAAATTCACCACAATAAACTTACCTGAGTGGTAAGTATCCCTATACGAGATAACATGCTATATTGTCCCACCCATATTGGTGACTACCTGACTTATTTTTTCCACTTCTGACAGAGGTGGGGTAGCAGTTCCCCTCTGCGCCCAGGTTTTGTGCTTAGCAAGTTAAACGTACTCCCAACACACTGAACCTTTGCTCTGGCTTCACAGAGATGATTGATTACTTCATTTGACTCTGTGTGTGATTGCAAACCAGCCAATCCATCAAAACTTAACGTATGTTCCTTTAAGTATGGAGTGAGTGACAACACTGCAAATTGTGAAAGTAAAGCATGCACAAGCAGGGTTTCCACATCATACAGGAACAAATCAGGAGAAAGGGTTTGTGTCTGAAATAGAGGCAAATTTATGCTATTCTACAAAAACCATAAACATCAAGACGGCAGACACAAGCATCACTTTGTCACCAAAGGGGTTGACATTATGGCCTGACAGCTGGCTGTCCATTTGCTGTCTTGCAACTTTCATCGTCTGGACTGGCACTATACTGTAAGATGGAAGAGGTATCATTCCAGCAAGCCAGACTGCCTGTTCCTCAGTATCGAGACGGTTCCTGCCAGGCATACAACTGTTCTTCATTAGAGTAGCATCCACAGAAATAGAATGAACTCCTGAAAGAAGCACGTGGACATCACCCATAGGGAATTTTTTCAGACTTGTGTTTCACCCTGTAGAACTCGGGACCGGTGCGGATCAGTATGGAAAATTCCTCAACAGAGCATGTAATCTGAGACGTCTGGTAGTTAAGAAGCATACCCTATAACACAACATCCCCAGTTTCATCCCAGCTGGGGCCTTTTGTTTCATGTCACACCCCTCCCCCCTTGTGCTTCAACTGTCCAGTAAAGATGAAAAATGCTGAATATGCTTGCAATCTGTATCTGGATCTCTAATCTGGATAAGGGAAATAAATGCACGTTACTTCAAGGTGTACATTCATGCAGAACCCATTACAATTAGAGTGGTATCAGACAGAATACCTCTCGAGGTGGTCTGGCTCCCAGTGTAATTAGATCTTAGCCAGGTGTAAATGCAGTCAATACAATTTATTTTTCCTCCTGTCTCATGCAGGACTGGCAAAACAGCTACAGATACGCTCTTCCTCTGAATATGAGAAATAAATAGAGTCAATACAGCTGCTTCCCTTGACCTGGGACACTCCATGCTTGCCTATTTTACACTTTTATTTCCACAAGTCAGTCCGCAAATTGCTTTTTTAGATAACAAGAGAACACTTAATTGTTCCAGTCCGGATGTTAATGCAGTGACCTCTGATTAGGTGTCTTTAAACAGATGATGTTACTAGATACAAGGAGATGATGTGGAAAATATTGGATGTTAAAGGGTGACATCATTAAGCCTAACTGATACAACTCACCAAAGCTGGAACAAATGGTGTTCATCAGCTGTTGATTTACCAGCTCCTGATAATGGTTTTAAAGTAAAACCAAAACCATTAAACAGCAAAATACTTCCACTAACTCTACTCGTATCAAGATACAGATCGCAGGGTTACGCCAGGTATAAATGGGGGTCATTGTTTTCAGTCTTTCTCAAAACTGCAAAATGGTTACGCTATCAAAATATTTTTATAGAAGATAAATGTGTTGCCTGCATTTTGCTAGACACCTAGACGTATTTGAATATCTTTTATTTTGCACAGGCTATAAATCTTACACTGACAATCTGCTTGAGCCAAGTCATTATTGATTCTTCGCAGAAATGTGCATAGACAGTAAAATTACAATCAAAGTCCTTGTGGTTAAAGGAGAGCCATAAATAAGTCATTTGATGGAGTGGTCTGTGTTATGTCTTGTCAACAAAACATGCTGGACAATGTGAGATCAATAAGGCATTACTGAATCCTTCAAATTAAAACTTATCAGTTACCACTATGATATTAATGGATGGGTGATAATGATGGACCCCATTGAGAGAAGGTTTTGTGATAACAATCCCAAAACAAAATCATTGAGGTTCATGGCACTATATTGCATGATGATGTGTTCATTGGACGCAGGAATCCTAGAGAGTCTGAACAGTGA